AGTTTTGGGATAGAGAGGCCAAGTGAAAATGGAGGTTAAATGCGAGCAGGCCAAGGCAGCTCTTCATTCTTTGAAGAACGGTACACAACTCACCATGTTTGGCTCTGCAAAATGAAGCCTTAAGAAGCATCTTGGTTACCATGTATAGACATGGACCATGCCATAAGCAGCAGAGGTTTATGGAGCTCTTGGGCAAAGTTCCCCAGAGCCCTCATGTACATTAGCTGGTACTACCCATCTCCACCCTTCAGGCAGCTTCATTTCAGTGGTGGCAGTATCTTGCAGGAAGAGAGCCCTTAATGCTAGAAAAGCTTGCCGTTTTGAATGGAGAATGTCAAGGTCAGTGCTGCATCAAGTCCAGCTCAAAAATCACATTGGGTGAGCAGCTACAAGAAGCATCTCTCCCAATTCCCACTTCCACATCCCTGCCTTCAGCATCTCTGGCAACAAATTTGTGCAAAGCATATTCAGCAGAGGAAGTAGCCTTTTGCTCTCAGTGCATTTGGTTGAAAGTCATAAGACTAAGTCAGCAACTTCCTTAGAGAAACCTACAGCAGTGGGGGAAAAAAAAGTCTTAGTGGGCCAGACCACCCTAATGGGGTCAGCTCTCAGCTTATTTATGAACAGCTGCTGTCACGGGAGAAAGAGGGCGAAAGGCCTGGCTCCTTGGCATGAAGTGACGTCAGAAGTAATCGAGCTAAAATGCTGCTCAAGTTCAAAGGAGTGTGCTCCAAGGGCATATAATCCCCAATTGAGATTAATGGAGCTGCTAAATGGTTAGGAGCGTGAGACTGGCACCTCCGGCACCTTGCAGGAAGGCAACCTGAAACAGCTCAGCTATGAGCAGGCATCCCTCCATGGCAAGTCATCCAGTAAAGGGGCCCAAGAATTTCAACCCTCTCCCTCAATAGGAAGCTGCTGGAAAGCCAGAGAAACAACATGGCCTGAACATCCGCAGGATGCAGATGACACCTGGCTCTCCATTTCCTTCATATCCCATGTAAACCAGCATCATCTCTCAGCTGTCTCAACACAGGGCTGCAATCTGCACTCTGATGAAGAACATGCTCAACTCAGACAACAGCTCTCCTGTCATTTGGAAAGGGGAAGTACTTTCAACTGTTCACTTACCTCCAACAGGCCTCATTACCAAGGGCGGAAGCTCTCAAATTCTCAGGCAGTCAGTAATTTTAGGGTCTCTTTTGGATTTTGCAGTGCTACTAGATAAAGCAAAGAGCCACAATGGCAAGAACTGGCCATTTCCACCTGCAAGTGGATGGCATCCCATACTCCTAGGGAGAGATCTGGCCATGGCAATCCATGCAATTTAGATCTCTAGACCAGGTTATTACAGGATCTATTTAGAAATGAAGATACACACCCTGGGAAAAAAAAAAAGCAAGCTTCAACTGGTACAAAATGCAGTCCATCTGTTTAGCAAAACTGGTTGCTATGAATACATCATTCTAGTGCTCTGCTCTTTATTTCTATTTTTAAAAGATACCTGGGAGGCACTCCAATCCAATGGTGATGGGGACTATACAAATGCCTTGATGAGCATATATTAGAAAGTTGTCTTGGTAGCTCGTTGGGGAACATACAGCAACGGCTTGCCCTACACCTGGCTCTAACCGATGCTTTAATGAACACAAAGTCCAGCAAGAGAGCAATAAACCAACTGAGATACAATAGCCTGTTATTCAGCCTAGAACACTGTAAACCTGACACTGATAAGATAAGTCTTATCCTCGCAGGACCCTTCCCAGCTCTACTCAGAAAGGACATGAATGGTTGAATGGGAGTGGGGGGGAAAAAGGCAGGGGGGAGGTGAAAGGGAATTTACAGCTTGCAAGTTTGTACTTTAAGATATTCAAGGTCTAACACAGAGCCTCAAGCCACTAAGAGAGTATAAAGGGTACACTTCTGAACAAACAGCCCTCCACACCAGTGGAGAGTGCTCACGGGACTTGGACCTTTTCCAGAATGTTTTGAATTCCTGAGAGCGTTAAGTCTTAATGCATTTTGGACAGGTTTCCCTCTCAGCAGGGCTGTTTTGCTTCTCCCCTGGTCAGAGGAGCTGCTGGCCACTGCATCAGGCAGAGAAGGGGGGCTCGGGCTCAGGGCGTTGCCATTCCCAGTCTGGAATCCGCATGCCCCACAACCCTTTGCCGGCCTCCTTCCATTTCTACTGTATGGAACAGCAACATATATATGCAGTTCAGGCTAGAATGAACTTGGAACAAGAACATGCTGCTGGGGATAAAGCTTCCTGACACCTCCCTTCCTTGCAATTCTGGTTAAAAGACTGTTTGATCACATCAATCTGGCCTACTCAATGCTACCTACCATGCGACAGATCAGATATACCACTTCCCCCAATTCTGACCAATTTCTCTCAGTTGTGCCCACAAGCTGCTCAGCGATGAGTCTGTTCCAAGTGCCAGAGAAGGTCTCTCTCTCGCAGGTCGAGTTCCAAAAGCAGATTCTTTTGCTCAGACTCATTGCAGAGGGCTCCTTCCACGCTCAAGACCAATTTAGGGAAACTCCTAGCATATTTTGCAAACAGTTGCTCTAAAATGGATTTTCAGATCCATCACCAGTCTTCCCATTACACACAACCTCCCAATAGCACAGAGCTCCATGTTTGAAGGCAGGTTCCACCTTAGTTCCTTTAGAGAAATCGAGGTAGGTGTTGTTCTGTTTGCTCACATTTATAGAAGAAGAGATCTGAAACTTTATTGACATCCAGACTTTCAGAACAAGAGGGGCCTGCCTGCTGTGCAGAGCAGCAGGCCCAAGGCACCCAGGGCCACTTACACCAAGCAGACTTGTAACACAAAGCTCGTCTCGATAAGTGCTTCAGTTTTCTTTTTGGAGATGTGTTGATACCAAAGAAATGATCAGAAACCTTAACTATATCTTAGTCGGGTTCAAACTAAGCATCTTCCTTGACCTTTTTCCATATTCTGGGACTGGGGAGTG